TTAGCACTAATAGCCCCCACTTGGAATGATTCAGAAATATCCACTTTCAATTCACAATGCTCAATAACAATGACTTGAAATTTATGTATTTGACCAAGAACGGACATGGTGTCAAACGTGACAAAATCAAGATATTTCAAGAAAAGGAATTTGTCTGTACCTTCCTTCTCAGTTTTGTATTTGTATTCAAGTGCATTCCATATCTCCACCGGAGACTCCATCGAGTTGTAGAGATCGTAGAGCCTATCGGAGAGTGTGTTGAGAATGTGACCCCAGCACATGACTTCATCAATCATCTACGCGCTTCTTCCTTACAGCCTTCAAGTCTTCAGAATCATCCTCCTTCGGCTCCGGAAGTGGCTCCAACTTTGGATCAAGTACGTATGGCATCTTGAGGACGGTGAGAAGGAAGAACAACTTTCCCTTTTAGTGGGTGAAATTGCTACCATCAAAGTGATCAAGTTGGACATTCGGATTGAGGAAAGACACCATGTTCTTTTCAACCTCCATTGCAACAACTTAAAACCTTAAAGATTGTTGGAGAATTTAAGCGTATAGGATGAAAAGAATGTAGAAAACAAGAGGATTTGAGGAACATAGATATAAAGTCTGTAAATTTTTTAGAGAATTAATAAAGACAGAGGTGTCATTTCATGAATGAACACATCCTCTTCAAACATCACAACCATCCACATAAGAGTACCTTTTCAATGTAAATGTATCTCTTCATGGATTAATACATCTATTACAACAGCTATTTCTATTGCTAATAAGTGTTCAGATATGTGTGAAAACATGTCACCAATGTATGCAATAGTTCAAAACGTTTCATATCACAAATCACACACACAACATGTTTTTTATGCAGAAAACCGCTGCAACGGATGTTTTATCTACTGCAGCAAGTTTGGCAGCAAAACTACTACAGCAGAGACACTGCAGCGCGCAGTATAATTACGCGCTACAGCTAGTTGGGCAATGCAGACAGCACTAAATGATGCTTTCTCATCCGTTGCAATGTAATAAACACGCACTGTAGCGGGTTTCTTTTCTTTTCTAAACTGTTAACACGCGTGTTTTAACAGTCTAAAAAATATATGATCTAATTTGAGAGACATATTACAATCTCTCTAACAACTTCAATTAGCTACATGTCTCTTGAGGAGTATTGCATAATTGCATGCACAGTTCAATTAATAATCATTTATGTTGTATATATATAAGCCTATTAATTACCGATACCCTACTTTACTCCTAGTGCAAAATCGAGTTTAAAATCGAGTTTTCTTCCACAAAATTTGAATAATTTTTGTTCATACATTTCTGTTTAAACTTATAAACTAAATATTCTCTAGAACTATTCTCAAATTATCAGTTCAATGTCCATTCATTCTTAATAGGTACGGGGTGACATGCTTCGTTTTTTTGCACAAGTACAATTATAATTCAATAGTGACATTTTTTAGCATGCATAGGTCCCTTTGCTCACACATAAAAATTGTAGCTGCGGCTGGTTACTCCTGATCCCCCACTTTTTTTTTTTTTTCTCCAACTACAACTGGGGCCGGTTAATATAGCCATATTATAACAACTTTTAAACAGCTTTTAGGAGACTTTATAGTAATTTAACATCTTTATAATCAACAATTTAAAAGAATTAATTAAAACTGTGTACAATCCATTCTTTTGAATTAATTAAAGCCTTTCGCTTGAAGACATGATTTTGTACATTTTGAGAAGGTATAGTACTACTAATGTTCTAGTTACTTTCTACCACTACATATATGATATATGATATATATATATATATATATAGTATTTTGGGAACCTTTTCATCATAATTATTAATTTATAGGGATAAAGGAGGGTGTTCGCATTATATATGGATGTTGTTGCTGATCATGAAAGTAATGACAGGATGGAATTCTTAAGATAACAAAATTAGCTTGACTCCATTATCAATTAAATCCGACTTCCAACTTTTTTTTTCCTTTTTATAAATATTTTAAGGAATTTTGCAACTTTGAATGGACTAAAATTAAATGTCCAATATGGAATCTAGGGCCCTCAAAAGGACTCATATATATATATATATATATATATCTTTTGGGAAAAGGAAGTTAATGAATTTCTCTAAAGCTAGCTAGTAGCAACATTTAGGGCCACCATATATATTGAGGGAAACATTGAGTTAAGTCTTTATCATTTTCTTAGTTTTGATTTATACACAATTTGTAATCGCGTACATGAATCTTACCAGAAAGGCACATGCACTAGATGGATCATGATGCAATAAAATATTTAAAAGGAAATACATATACTTTTTAGTAGCTAGCTTAATTGGAATTGTTGTCCATTAGGGGAAACAACCACGAAGGGTGATTTTTCAAATTTGAAACACCTTATCATTGAGATGATATTTATATACACAATATTAATTTGTGTTAGCAATAAAGTATAAAAAATTATTTCTCTTTTCAATAAATATATATATATATAAATATATATAAACGAGTTTTTATGATTATGTTTACATCAGTAGCATTTCTAAATATAAAAATTTAATAACACGACATGTTAAAAATTTAATTTTACTAATTATCATTTTTTTTATTAATTATTTAATTTATTACAAAATGTAAAATGTAAAGGTGTATCAAATTGACTGGCTATAAAGAGTACTCGTCCAACTGTCAATATATTTTGTTGCTTCTAATGAAAGGCTAGAATCGGGCCCATTTTCCTTCTTAATTAATCAAATCAGTCACAATTTTTGATTTAACCCTCGGCGCACTAGTTTATTTCAAGCAATTTTTTTCGATGTTTATAATGATCTTAATTAATTAGCATTTGATTGATTATAATAAAGATGAAAGCTTACGAGTCTTTTTTTTTTTTTAACTTCCCTGATACGCTAATATACCGGTAGGATAAATTTTTTATCTATCATATTTATATAAAATCACGTAAAAGTTAAAAAATATGTAAATCCAACGGTTAAAAAAACATGACCTACCAGTACGCCAAGCGTACCAGAAAATCTCTCTTTTTTTCTCTCTTTTTCATGTTTGGCTTTTTTTTTCTTAATTTAAAGTTGCACACTTTACAGATATATACTTGGTCATCTAAAATGTAACCTTCTCCGGTACGCCAACATACTAATAGGTTAGGTTTTTATCCGTTAGATATACATAAAATCATATAATAAAAAAACTTAACTTATCAATACATCAAGCGTACTAAAAATCCCCCCATCTAAAATTAACATTTACGTCAAGACTTATATTTAATATAATTTTTTTCTGCCATGCATCACGCTTCATGTGGTCATATATGGGACCATAAGTGATAAATTCGTATTAATCAAACAGCAACCAAAGTTGCGGGTTGTAAGAAAAATTGGTGTGGATGTGACAGCTTTAATATCTTCACTGCAAGTTAGGATTTGCTTTTTTTTTTTTTTTTAAGGTAACAGAACTACTTGCTAGCTTTATAAACCCTTGGGGTTAATTTTTATTTTTGGCCCAGAAATTATGTTTCTTATCTCATTTGTTTCTGGAATTTCAAAATGTTATAAGTTGCACCCTAAACTATGCTCTAATTTGTCCCATGTTTAGTCCTTCAGTCATAGATACCGTTAAAACACCATGACATCATTGTGTTGTACTCAATTGCTTAGTTAATGAAAGATATCATAAAAAATTGAAAAGTTGAAAATAAGAGAAGAAAAAAATTATGTTCTCTCTAGGTTGGCTAACAAAGTATGTGAGGGTAAAATTTAATTAAATAACCTTAAATGCGTGATTTGTTTAAAATACTTTATTAACAAGTAATATTAAGTTAACGCAGTTGATTCCGTTGAGTTATTAATGATTTTTTGTGACTAAATAAGACAATATATAAGCATAATTTTGGGTGCTTATATATTGCCCATCTAGAGAATGCTATATAATTAAGTTATAACCTATATATCCGAAGCATCGAAAACCATATGATTTCTGATATCAAAATTAAAGCACAGATGATGAGGATTGAGGACTAACATGATGGAGGTCAGAACTTTATTAGATCATGGATGCGCTTTGTCTCTGCACAAGTATTGATTCCAATGCTCCACTGGAATTTTGCAGCGGGACATGTAAAAGGAAAATATTCACTTTTGGTAACATATATTTAGGTTAATTAAGTTTTTAACTTATTTTTGCAAGTTTAATTTAATTAGGGTATTTAAAATCCTTATCAATCTAATGTCTTTCTAACATCAAAAAAATTACGAAACAGCATCACATTAGAAAAGGAAAATATATATAAAGACGCGTGAGATGATCTGATAAAAATATATAATGGTTTAAAATTGCATATATCCGTAACTTTTTTTAATTAAAATGGTAAACAGGGACAGTCGATTCTCCTATGTCGCATAAATATTCCGACTTGACTGAATAAGACTTATAAGAGTCCTCTTTTTTTTTATTATCTTATTGTAGAATTCTCTTTATTTTTATTTTTAACATGGTCATAATAATAAAGTTGTTTGTATTTATCATTAATGATAGTTACTAGTAATGCTACAAATTTTCGACTAATCACAAAGCCACTTGCTAATTCTCCGGGTCTCTACATATATATATATATATATATATATATATTATTGCACAATAATCCACATAATGATAAGATATTACATTTATCAATAAAAAGATGACAACTCACATACTACATCAGTTAGTATACAAAAGTTTAGATTTGAGTTGGTGTCTCTAAGATTACTTTATAAGCTATATTTAGATTCACAATTATCATAAAAAAAAAAAAAAAATTTAAAATACTGTCGAATATAGATGGATAAAGATAACCCTAATATTATTGTCTAGTAATGAATAACTTAGGCCAGCCTTGCTACTACAATATCACTTTTTGCCATCCAACTGTATCTTTGGCTCAAAAAAGTACACCTTCCGTCCATTTCTTCCCACCTTTCCCATTCTTATTTCCCTCTATATATATTCAACCTCTGTCGCCCTTTTCCTTTCCCTCACTCAACATGGGAATCATGGAACGCCACCAAACCTTTTATGACCACTATTACTCACAACAACAACAAAATGGCCTAATTCCTCCTCATCATCTTCTTCAACCTCCAGATCATGATGATCTTGATCATGATCATCAACCTGCTGATCCTTTATACCTCTCTTCTCAGCGTAGCCTCCAGTCCGTTGCTTCCCTCACCTCTTCAAAATCCCACCACCAAAACCATCTCCACCAGTACTGTCTCATCTCCAGTTTCACACCCCACAGTTCTTACGTCTCTTCCATCGCCGTCGCCGAAAATCTCGTCTTCACCGGCTCCTCCGACCGAGAAATCGCCTCATGGAATAACCACATCAATAACAATCACCACAACAACAATAACGTTGTATTAACGGCCGGAAATGGCGCGGTGAAGTCGCTTGTTGTGTCAGGCGACAAGCTCTTCAGCGCGCACCAGGACCACAAAATTCGAGTTTGGAGAATTAGCAGCAGCAGCAGCAACAACAACAACAGCAATAATAACAACAATAATAATAAGTACACGCGCCTCGCCACGCTCCCGACGCTGGGGGACCGCGCGGCGAAGCTCCTCATGCCTGGGAACCACGTCACCATCCGCCGCCACAAGAAGAGCACGTGGGTCCACCACGTGGACGCCGTCTCGGGGCTCGCGCTCTCGCCGGACGAGTCCCTCCTCTACTCGGTGTCGTGGGACCGGACCCTCAAGGTGTGGCAGACGACCGACTTCAAGTGCCTCGAGTCCGTCCACAACGCCCACGACGACGCCATCAACGCCGTCGCCGCCTCGTCCGACGGCCACGTGTACACCGGCTCCACCGACAGTAAAATAAAAGTTTGGAAAAGAAACTTGGGGGACAAGAAACTATCTTTGGTGGCCACATTGGAGAAGCACAAGTCCGGGATTAATGCTCTGGCGATAAGCAGCGACGGGACGGTTTTGTACTCCGGCGCGAGTGATAGGTCCGTTGTCGTTTGGGAAAGGAAGGACATTGGTGAAGGGAAAAACGACATGGTTGTTTTGGGAGCTCTAAGGGGACATAGCAAGGCCATTTTGTGTTTGTCCGTCGTTTCGGATTTGGTGTGCAGTGGCTCGGCGGATAAGACGGTGAGAGTCTGGAGAGGCGTCGAGAGGAGTTACTCTTGTTTGGCTGTCTTTGAAGGCCACACTGGTCCTGTCAAGTGTTTAACGGCTGTGATTGATGATCGGAGTTGTGATGATGATCATGATGTGTCTTGCTTGGTTTATAGTGGTGGTTTGGACTGTGAAGTTAAGGTCTGGCAAATAATTGTTCCTAATCTTCTCTAGAAGCCTTCTTTTTTTTTTTATGATTTTATGTAGGGGATCAAAAATTATTGTAGGATACTACTCTAAACTAATGAGTTTTCATCAAATTTCGTTAAAATTGTCATAATTTTCTTAATTTGATATGATTTTTATAGCAAGGTATTTTTTTCACACTCCATCAGAAAATTGACCTTTTTTATTTGGAAAATTATTACACATAGGTAAATGCCTATTAGTAGTTGATCTTCCAAGATGTTAAAAGACATACACTAAGTACTAGTATAAAGTCCTTTGTTTTATCAATTTTTTTTCGGCTGATGAAGTCCTTTGTTTTATTTTTGTTCTTCATAATTTGTTTCTCAAGGATTTGATGTAAATAAAGGAAGAGAAATATGTTTGGCAGTTTGGATTTTTTTTTCTCTCTCCTTATTTCTGTGACCGTTTATTGGTTAGGAGAAATGAGGATTAGATGTTTGTTTCAAGTTTTTCTTGGAAAGCATTGTAAAGGGCCATAAGAAACGTTGGAACTGGGGCTTGGATTTAAATGGGAATTATGGGTGATTGACTTTGATGTTCTACTTGTAAACTGATTGAATTTCAATGTTTGTGATTTTAATGAAAGCCTACTGTCTAACTAAGTATGATGAGACTTTTGAGATAGAGATCGATGCAACTTTTTCTTTCTTCTTTCTTTTTTTTTTTTTTTTTGGCCATGTTCATTATTATCATAAGATATTCCAATTGTGTTAGTGGTAGTATGCAATATGGTTAAAGGTCAATGTAATAATATGTATGAAATTTTATTTGAGGAGGTTAGTTAAATATTATTTATTGTTAAAAGACAAATATATTTGTCATTTCGTCCTAGAATCTTACGTTAGCTACTAATCTTTTCAATTCCTACCAATCTAAATCGTCGCGTCATGGTAAAAAAAAAAAAAAAAAAAAGTTTAAACAATAACAAAAGATTTATATATTGACAATTTTAAAATTGTAAAAGGAAATGATCGATTCGTATCACAAACTTTCCATTGGCAACATAGACACAACAAGTGTCGGATTTTCTTTTGCAAGGATTAGTTGGATTGTGGGCCTTAACGCGACAAAGTGAGTAATAAAGTAAGGATTTTCCAAAGCTTACTCTTATTCTTACCTTCCATTTTCTTTTGCCCACATTCTCAATTATGTGCTTTGCTTCTCAAGAAAACCAATACTGAAAATAATAAATAATAATTATAATGATAAGAACAATAAAGGTTCTTCTTAGGGGCAGGTGGGACAACGTCATTTTTTAATAAAACTTTGTTTATTGCAAGAAAAATCCACAGTTTAGAATATTTGCTATAATGTTATAGAGAAGGAATGAATGGAAATTCCATTAAGATCGGAAAGGAATATTACACCTGGCCTTATAATGTGTAGATAGCACAAATTTAAATACACGACTGATGTTTCTAGCCAAAAAATAAAATAAAATAAAATAGAAGACTGATGCTGGCTGGACTTTGTTGGCGACAAGATCTCTTCATACTAATTGTGCAATTTTTTTCATCTTATCTTATTATGGGAAAAGTTTAAAACTACCCCTTTATAAAATCGATATTTCTATTATTAACTTGTTTAACCATAATTGTCTTTTTATTAAAATAAATAGAACCTAGAAAATTTAAATAAAAGCGGTAATACTGAATAAAGGGATCAATATTGATTTCAAATAAAATTTTGACAATTCTAAAAGAATTTCTCTTAGGTACTTGTGGGAAAAGATTATTTATTAAGATTTTTCTTTTTTTTTTTTTTTGGTCACAAAAGGGTTACGACAGCAAACCAAAGCTGTAACTTTTTTGTGCTCTTTACACATATAGCAAAATTTAAATTGTAAAGAAATAAAAAAATAAATCTATGCTGATCGTTTTCTGCTTAATTCATCCCATAATATTTTCCCCTCTATGCTAATATTATTATTCTATTTTTTTCTTAAGAAAGATTCAATATGATAATATAATCCATATTTCTATCAAATGAAGAAATAAGTTATATGGAACAGAATAATAACCTAAGATAAAGGACCGTCAACGCAATTGAATTTTTGCATATGAATTGGGTAAATTGTCAATCATCAGTGTAACAATTCTAATTTTTTCATTAATTCATTCTGAGAAATAAAATAAAAAAAGGTTTAAAAGCACTTTTTTTTTAAATGGCATGATATCATTTGAAGTTCTAAGAATCAAACTATTTCTTATATTGCTGTCTATTCGGTTAATAATTATAGATTATCATAGGAGTACAAGAATCATGATAATATAGATAAAGCATTGTGGTTAATTGTTTCAATTATATACACACATCAAGATTCGCACTTTTTCTTATTTAATTGATAACGTGAATAACGTTAATCAATTATATCAAAGAGTAGTGTTAAAATAACATTTAAAAGAAAACTATTATTGATTTCTCAATAGTAAAACTATTTTCTTAAGTTGGTGTCATTTCTTAAATAAGCTGCTAGAACATTATTACAAACGCAAAGTTGTTTTTCCAATAACGTTCCAAATTTTTTTTTTTTAAAAAAAAAAAAACACTACCTTACAACTTAGACGCCCACATGGACCATAATGATAATAATGTCCCCTTTTGAACGAACCAACCTCCTGAATTCCATTATACGGGAGAGAGAGAAAGAAAGCCTGACCAAACATCATCCAAAATAAACAACGCCAAAAGGCAAAAGAAGCTTACATCATATACATATATATATATATATGTACATATATTTTTTTTGTTATAAAGTTTTGAACCGTACGATATCAAAGATATACAAATGATATTCATCATTTCTATTAATATATTTTCATTAGCCCTAAACTTTGACCCCTAAAACAAAGGCAAGTTAGGTAAATGTCAATTTTCCACATGCCACATTATCCTAACCTATATGTATATATATAACATAAACTATTTTTTGGAGCCCGCTCCTTAATATCATGTAAAGAATGTTGAATTCAGTTCACCCGGCAGAGAAAAAGGTGGAAGCGAAGGAAAATTGTTCTAATACTCCATCCATAAATTACTACTTTACAAAGGGGAAAAATCAAACCTACTTATCCTAGCTTGCATAATGTTGTGCACAGCTACCTTGTGTATGTGGGGAAGCAGATTTTTCTCAAGAAAGCTTGAAATTTTAATCACCCGAGTTTTTTAATTATTAATGCTTCTTTAATAACTAAAATGTGTTGGGGTTAGTGGTAATTATGTGCTTAGCACAGAAAATATCTGAGTAAAATATTTGGCCTAAAGGTGTATGTCATATAAGTGAACAACTTATCTGAACCGTCATGAAGAGACGCATGTATGAAGAGAGAGAGAGAGAGAGAGAGAGAGGGGCTTGAGTTGTTGCTGCAATGATAGAAGACCTAAAACAAGGAGACATCTTAACATAGCTGGAATCCAATACAATACTTACCAAAATATTTGGCAGTCGATCATGATCTTGCAATTTTCTAACAAGAGTCAAGACGAGGGAGAAAAACATCTGAAGCTATTTTACGTCCTGATAATTGTATTTATATAATCAAGCTCTTACGTAATCAGACAAAAATGGAACTCTGTAATTGGTCAGACACAAGTGTATTGGTGACTAGGCTTAGAAATAATTGGGAAATGACTATCATGCATAATGCATGTGCCACCCAAAACAATTTGTCTAAACGCAATCAATCACATTTGATCATTTCTCGGCATATTAAAAAGATGGTAATAGCAAATTTCTAATAAATCCCTTTAAAGTTCTATGTCCAGAACGACTGAGTACATGGCACATTCAGACCATTCAAAAGTTGATAAACAAAAATTAATTTTAGAATGATGTGTGTATAATTCCTAACTAATAAGCGGCAATGCTAGTGCACAAGTTGTCAAGTTATTTCCAAAATAGGGCAATATCTAAGTCCAGCTCTTGACTATTTTTTAAGTCCGATTAGTATACTTAATTTCACATGTGCCACAACTCTAGAAACATAGTTAGTTCATAGATCTATACTACTGACAAAGTGGTAATAGCGATTATTCTTCTTTCCTCTTGTTGAAATCTTTTAGATATTATATTGCACGCTCAACAAAGTGCCCACTAGTTGGGCTTGCTTGTCCTTTATACTTTTCGTGTATTTGGGTGTTGTTTTTGTTGTCTTTTTTTATAAGAAGATTTTGTTTCATTGGTAGTTTAAATCTCTATATATACTTTCAATTTCGAGAAAAGCTTAAGAAGTTGACCCAACAAACGCCAAAATGAAACTCACGAATGACCTTTATTCATACATAAACAATTTCCTAGATTTGCTTCCCCTGGTTTCCACAAGAAGTAAGACAATCCATAACAAAAATT